AACTTTGTGGTCTTCTGCATATGAAAGATTTATTGTGGAAGAGCTCAAACCACGATAAGACGTCTTTTACCCTATAATCGTTTAAACCCAAACTTTGTGGTTCAGTTCATAACAGTTTTCATCAGTTAAATTTACACATTCTCTTCATAATTATTTGGTACCAAACAATTCGTCAACATGATAATCAGTTGTTGAAAAGAAATAAAATTTAAAAGGAAACCAATATACTGCAAAAAATAAAATCAAAGGATAAACTTAAACAGAAGAATATGTAAAGAAAAGAGTTCAGTAAGATGACAAAGGTATTAAACTTAAACATCGTTTTTCCAAAATGATTGAAAAGAATACGAGAGAATGTTTTTAAACCTTTCAATATTACCTTCTGTCTCGTCGCTTTCCTTCTTTTCTTTTTCTGTTGATCTCTCTTTCTCTCTCTCTTTCACTTCTCACTGATCTCTTTCTTTTTTTCTTTCTTCTCGTTGTTCTCTCTTTCTTCTTATGCACAGCGATGTATATATATATACAAAGAAACTTGCTTACGGTTACATTTCGTTAGATTCGAACGTAACTAGTAACTAAGTAATCATTACTATTCAGATAATAACTAACCACGTAATACGTTTCTAGAAAGATTCTCGTAAACGTTTATCAGATTGCTCCACGTTTACGTAATAAGTTTTATTTAGTTTTTGTAATATATTTATACATAATTTTATTTTTTTATCTATTATTAGTACTATTTATTTTATTATTAACATATTATATATTATATACATTTGTCTTAATATTTAATTACTTATTTTTTTTAATTATTATTATCATTATTATTATACATATACATATACGTAAATATATATATATATATATATATATATATATATATATATATATATATATATTCAAGCACTTCGCGTGAAAATTAACGCGAAAGGCGCCACTTTGGAGCAAAAAGCGCATTTTGGCGCTACCCCCTCCCCCCTTTTACGAAAATTTCGTGGAAACCAGATAAAAGTATAACAGAAAATTGTGGAAACATTAACTCTCTTTTTTATTATTAATTTCAGGGTAAAACTAATCTTTTATTGTATAAGAGAATGCATCTTATGTTCTGAAACAAAATCAAGGTGGATCTTATTTTGATTTTTTTCTTTTTTATTTTTTTGTAGGACCCGTCTTAATTTTGTTTTACAACATAAAATATATTATCTTATGTAACATAAAATTAATTTTACCCTTAATTTCATCGAGGAATATGTGAAAAAAAAATCACCAAAACTGAAAAATCATCTATATAAAAACATTCCGCTGAAAATGGCCCCAAAATTAAAAAAAAATGCTTACCAAAAAAAAGAATTGTTTATTTGAACGATTCAAAAGTTCACCATATAAAAAATTGACCATTAAGTCAAATATATAATTTATCGCAATTCTTGTCATGAAGCAGATAAACACTGGAGTTCAAAACAATGTGTTGTTCAGCTGTTCCAGACTAAATGGATCTAGGAAAGCTGTTTCCAGTGAACAGATTGCATGGTAGTTTTATATTCTCTAAATATATTTTAATGATTTTAAATTTTTAAATAAAGCAACATTAAATATTTTCTTTTAATATACTGATTTTTTTATGCTAAGTAATTAAGAGAATGTGAGAACATGTGAGAACCAGCAGCCATTATGGTTGTCCTTGTCTGGGACCGTCAAGTTTCAGACTTCCGATCGATGCTTTAGATATGAAAAAAAAAAAAAAAAAAAACTTAAATGTAAAAAAAAAATTAAGGAAAAAATATTTATTATTTAATATTTAAATTAAAAAACTCTTATTTTCTCCCATCATTATCTCTATTTCTTTCACTATAAAATACAGTAATTTTATTTACAAAAAAAAAATACAGTAATTTTGACTGAAATAACATAATTTTATGACATTTATAAAGACAAATACTAATTTAAAAAATTAATTTCCCTTCTATTTCTAAAAATTTCTTAGAAGTATGCTATATATACAAAATTATTTATGAGTTTCACCTTAACTTTTTTTTTTTAAGGAAAGTTAGTTGTATAATATGATATTAGAGTTAGTATGATCAAGTGGCTTCCAATGAAAAATACATAAAATTTTAATTTTAGCACAAAATAAATGTACGTGTACATTGTCCGGGGAGGGCTCTTGCAATTTTAGTGAAATTTCTATAAGCATTTTCCTCCCAAAATTAACTATGGGGATATGGTGCGATGTCAAGGAGTACTCACCCACCAGCTAGATATTTTTCCTCTCGTACACTCGTCTTCCTCACACTCTGTTTTGGGCCATTGTCTTTTGTAAATATACCATCCTCTCACTCTGCCATAGCAAGTAGCAACCACTGCATCACGCAGACTCAACAACGGCTTGGAGATCCAGAGAACCTTCTCTTATCTAAGACCAGTTTATACAACTTTACATAAGGGTGTGCATGGGTCAGGTCGGGTCAGGTTTTTGTCTGACTCGATCCAACTTGGTTTTTATAAGTAAAGTATTTTGACTCGACCCGCTTTAATTTGATCTAAGTTAGGTCTGACTTGGTTTGGATTTTGTTGAACTAGTTCAGAACCGGATTAAATCTGACCTCACTTGGTTTTTGAAGTGAGTCTGACTTAGTTTCTGAAGTGGGTCAAATATGACCTGACCCGTTTTTGACTTGGTTTTTTCACAAAATTTCGTCAAAATTTCTACGTTGCAAACGACGAAAATTTCGTCACAAAATTATTTTTTCGTCGAAATACTTTTTGTCGAAAAGCGACGAAATTTTTTCTCTAATGAAAATTTTTACAAAAATAAATTTTCTATCGAAATTTAGTTTCCGTCAAAAGTTTAAGGAAAATGATTTCTTCCATCAAATGTTTTAAACGAAAAAAGAATTCTGTCAAAAATTTTGACGAAATATTTTTCATTTTAAATTTTGATAGGAACGTGTTCTGACAAAAATTTCGACAGAAATTGTTTTGAGGAAAATGTTTCATCCGAACTTTCGACAAAATTTAGATTCTCTAAAGAATTTTGATAAAATATTTTTTTCGTCAAAATTTTTTGTCAAAAAATTTTACGAATTTTTTTTACCGAAATGTGTTCAATTGAAAATTTTGATGGAAATATTTTTTATCAAAAACTTGACGAAAATATTTAGTTGAAAATTTTCGATGGAAATGTGTTTCGCTAAAAATTTGGACGAAATTTTTGTTTGTCAAAAAGTTTAACGAAATTTTTTCCGTCGAAAACTTTCGCCAAAATTTGAAATCTGTAAAGAATTTTGGTGAAATTTTTTTCTGTCAAAAAATTTCGATGGAAATGTGTTTCTTCAAAAATTTTTATGAATATATTTTTTTGTGAAATATTTTGACGAAATTTAGATTTCATAAAAAAAATTGACAAAAAAATATTCCGTCAAATTTACAGAAATATTTTTAGTCACAAATTTTGAGGAAAATATTTTTCGTCAAAAATTTTTGCGAAATTTTTTGAAGTAATTGTTTTTCGTTAAAACTTTTCTTTTAATGTAATTGTGATTTTCTTTTTTCACATAATGGGTATGGGTCAAGTTTTGGGTCAATATTAAAACAATTCAGGTCTGAAAATGACCCAAATAAAAGTGGGTGGGTCAGTATTTAAACCAGTTCAAAAAATATAGGTATTTATGGGTCAAGTCAAGGTCGGATCAAGGGAAGGGCAAGTGAACCAGTTTTTTTGCACACCCCTAACTTTACACATGTCAACTTAAAAAATTTTACATATGAAAATTTGTTTTTCAGTCCTCTACCTCCGTTAGTTGTGGTAATTTTTAACACGACCCACTGATATGATATGATTATGAATGAAAAATTCGTGTCAGGGTTGATTTGTTTTCAAATTCGTGTTATATTCTTATTCATACTTATTAATTAATTATTAATTTTCACTAAATTATAACCGTTAGATTGACGAAAATCAACGGTTAAGCTTTGATAGTAAGAGATAGTAAGAAAAATAGGTAGTAAGTATAACTTTTTCATATATATATATATATATATATATATATATAGGAAAATTGTTTGTCTTTTTAAATGACATAACTTGTGTCATTTCACTCTCACAAAGAGGTGAGACCGATACTTTTACTTTTTTTTATCCACTCTCTCTACCCTATAATTTATCTCTTTTTCTTACTTAAAATGACACAACTTTTTTTTTTTTTTGATAACATAAAATGACACAACTTTACATCTTTTAAAATAATACACACTTTCCCCCATATATATATATATATATATATATATATATATATAGGGTAAAATCATTTCTGCACCCGCTTTACATACAACGACGACAGGTGTATGATTATGATTTTCCACATTTAATGCTTTCATCTTTTGTATGATTATAATTCCCCGCATTTAATGCTTTCACCTATATATATGACAAGTATTTGATTGCTGCACATACAACAGTTGCAGAAATGTAAACCCCTATATATATATATATAAATTCCTGCAGTTACTGCAGATAAGTTATCTGCATTTATTCTCAAAACGACGTCGTTTTATGATTGAAAGATTAAAAAATTATAATTATAAAGACTATAATAACCCTGAAATAAATTAAAATTACAAAAAAATCATAATTTCCTCCCCAAAACGACGTTGTATTGGGCTTACTACAGATAACTTATTTGAACCGCAGAAAAAATGAACCCATATATATATATATATATATATATATATATATATATATATATATATATATATATATATATATCATTTGATTTCTTGTGATTATAATTTTTTTTCTAAATTCATCTGTACACATCTTTGTACAAGACTTTCCTGATACTCTATGAAATTCCCAAATTACAACAGAAACGAAGATGAGAACTTGGATAAGGATAATAAAGTAAAATCAAACTTTTCAGGGTAATGGTGTTGAACAACTCCTCTATCTTCTAATTAGTAAGTAGTAAGTAGTAAGTAGCAAGCATCTATTTTGCTTGGTACAGCTTATTCTAGTTATGATTGTCACCCCTGACTGTAATCATATGATTCATATCTAACGAGGATATAGACTACTAATTGAGGCCTCATTTGTTGATGCTTCAACACATTTACTTTCCTGTTCACTTGATCCCGTTGCAACAGAACTGCAAACCGAAATTTGGATGTCTGATAAACATGTATCTTCCATACAAAAGGCAGGTTGCAAGGGAACTGGGAGAGAGGAAGAGTAGCTATCAAGCATAAGCACGACTGAAGCCAATTTTGGTCTATTAGCAACCCTTTCTTGAACACAAAGTAACCCAATGTGAATGCATCTTATTATTTCATTTCTTAGAGCATCATTTAAGGTGGGATCTATAATATTAGAAGCTGTTCCTTTCCTCCAATTTTTCCAAGCCTGCAAGAAGTAGTTCACCGTAGAAAATATTAGTTCCAGTTTCTCAATTCTACCATTTCAAGGCTAATTTTCTATTCTAAACCCTCTAAAAACAAGGATGATAAAGAAGGTAGACATACAAAGCTTAATAGATGCTCCAAATTATCTCCATAACGAAATCCACTATTCTTTTGACCACTTATAATCTCTAGTATTATTACACCAAAACTAAAGACATCTGACTTCATTGAGAAATTTCCTTGCCTTGCATACTCAGGTGCCATATATCTGCTGCATGTCAATATGGACAAGCTTAATTAGATACAATCATTACCGGTTCTTTTGATAATAATCCAATTTTTCAATGTGTTTTGTTCAAGGATACTGTTTAGAAACTAAGGGTCTGTTTGATTGTGTTCTGGTTTTTTTGTTCTTAAAACTGTTTCGTAGAAACAGTTGTTTTCTATATTTTTTTCTTTTTGAAAGTTAAAAACCAAAACAAAAAACAAAAACACCTCAGACATGTTCTCTAAATTTGATTTTAAAAACAAAAAAATAGTTATAATTTTCAAAATATTTTTTACAAAACAGGTCTTACCAAACGAGTTTTTTTGTTTTGAAAGCTAAAAAATTGTTTTTAAAAACACTAATTAAACAGAGCCTAATTGTCCTTGTATTTTCTTTTGATACTCACAGGGTTCCTTCAATTTTACTTGCAACAGCCTGAGTTTGATCCCCATAAAACATCCTTGCCAAGTCAAAATCTGATATCTTAAGGTTCATCTCTGCATCTAAAAGAATGTTACTTGGTTTCAGATCACGATGAATAATCCTCTGTTGAGAATCCTCATGAAGGTAAAGAAGGCTCCGTGCAATGCCTTCAATTATTTTGTAGCGGGTTTTCCAGTCCAAATGTGCCCCCTTAATTGGATCTACAAGCAAAAACATAAATACAATCTTTTAAACTACTCTCAAAACCTTTCTTCATTTAATCAAGCAAAAGAAATAATATTAACAGAATGAGAGAATATTGAATAGGATTTCATTGCTAAGTAATAAAGAAAATACAAAAGTTGTGAATAGAAGGTAAAACATCAGCTTATATACAAGCTGTGAATAAAGCAAGTAACTCAAAGACTAACCAAGGTAAAACAAGTAACTCTAAGAACTAACTATAGTAACTAACTGTCTAACTATAGTAACTAACTGTCTAAGTCATGACAGCTAAGTAAGATCAGTTATTAGAATAACTAACTTAAGTCTAATTACATGAGAGTCTAATTTAAAAACTAATTACATTTAAATAATGAGGTATAATACCCCCCCTCAAGTTGGTGGGTGGAGATCATACAACCCCAACTTGAAAAGAAAATCATGGAAAAAAGTTGGATTGAGGGCCTTTGTGAATATATCAACAAGTTGCTGAGAGGTATGAATAGGCAACAATCGAATCAGACCAGCCACCACCTTTTCCCTAGTAACATGGCAATCCAACTCTATGTGTTTACTTCGGTCATGGAAGGAGGGATTATGAGCCAAATAGATTGCACTCTGATTATCACAATAGAGGTTGACTGGTTGAGAAGTAGAGACTTGCAGATTATTGAGAAGACAGGTGAGCCATTGAATTTCACAGGTCACAGTTGCCAAAGCACGGTACTCAGCCTTTGTAGATGAACATGAGACAGTGCTTTGCTTCTTGAACTTCCAAGAGATGAGAGATGTGCCAAGGAAAACACAAAAACCAGTGGTAGATTTCCTTGTATCAGGGCAAGTTGCCCAATCAGCATCGGCAAAGGCAGCCAGAGCCAGTGGGTTTTGAGAATAAAACAGTAAGCCTTTGGCTGGAGAAGCTTTTAAATATCTCAAAACCCGAGTAGCAGCAACATAATGATCATTCATTGGCTTAGCTACAAACTGACTTAATTGTTGCACAGGAAAAGATATATCAGGTCTGGTATTTGTGAGATATAATAAACGACCCACCAATCTTCTATAAACAGCAGGGTCAGGAAATAAATCTCCTTGATTTTGTTGCAAGTGTAAAGAAGGCTCCATGGGAGAAGAAGCTGGTTTGGCATGAAGCATTCCAGCTTCAGATAGTAGCTCGAGGACATATTTCATTTGATTCAAAATCAAACCATTCTTGGATCTAGCAATTTCCATACCAAGGAAGAAATGTAAAGGACCAAGGTCTTTAATACGAAATAGGGTGTCCAAGTGTTGTTTGATTGAATTGATCTGATCCATATTATTGCCAGCCAGAATCATGTCATCTACATAAACTAAGAGACATGTAAAAACATCACCATCTGCCTTAGTGAAGAGAGAGTAATCAGCACTTGATTGAGTAAAACCAAGGTTGCACAGCTCTAAAGTCAGCTTGGCATTCCATTGGCGGCTGGACTGTTTTAATCCATACAGGGACTTATGTAGCTTGCAAACTTGGTTCCCTTTGGCTGACTCAATGCCTTCAGGAATCTTCATATACACCTGCTCTGATAAATCTCCATGAAGAAAGGCATTGTTAATATCAATTTGCTCAAGGACCCAGTCCTTAGCAACAGCAATGGAGAGTAATAATCTGACTGTGGTGAGCTTGGCTACTAGAGAGAAAGTCTCAAAATAATCCACCCCCTCCATTTGGTTGTAGCCCTTGGCTACTAGTCTGGCTTTGTGCCTAGCAACAGTGCCATCTGGATTGTGTTTCACCTTATAGACCCACTTGCATCCAATTGGATGTTTGCCTTTGGGAAGAGGAACAATGGACCAAGTCTGATTACGGTTGAGAGCTTCAATTTCTTCATTCATTGCCAGAATCCATTCCTTGGATTGGACAGCTTGGTTATATGTACGTGGCTCAACAAATGAACTCAGATTATGACACAAGGCAGTATAAGAAGAAGAACAATGTGTATATGAAACAAAAGATGATGGATTTTTAAGTAAAGGTAAATGTGTACCTGAAGATGAGTGGTTGTCAGCTAAAACTTTGGAGAAATTACAGTGAAAATCACTTAAATGTCGTGGCTGTATCCTTGCTCTTGTAGATCTTCGAAGATTTGGGGAAGGATCAGCATCAGTATTAATGTGGGGTGGGGCTAATGGTTGTGGAAAGGATGGCAGGATGACAGATGAAGTAGACTGTGCAGGAATAGGGTCAACTGTGATTAAAGGTGAATGGACAGGAAGAGCAGGTGGAAAAAAGCACTTTTGGTGGTAAGTCATATATGGTAGGTGTAGGTGTGGGTAGGATTAAAGGGGCATGCTCAGAACTTGTGTGGTCACATTCTTGATTTTCGAAGAGAGGAAAGTTGTTTTCATAAAAGACAACATGTCTTGAAATAAAAACCTCTTTGGACTTTAAGTCATACAAGATATAACCTTTGGTCCCATGCTGGTGCCCCAAGTACACACACTTTCGGGCTCTTGCATCAAACTTTGTGCAATGGATTCGAAGTGTAGAAGCAAAAGATAGACAGCCAAATGTTTTAAGATGCATTAAGACTGGTGGCTTATTGTATAATAACTCATATGGTGACTTGTTATGCAAAATGGGAGAGTTAAGCCTGTTAATAACATGAATAGCATGCTGAATACAAAAACACCATAGGTTTTTAGGAACATTTCCTTGAAACAATAAGGCCCTGGCTGTGTTGAGGATATGCTGATGTTTTCTCTCCACAACACCATTTTGTTGTGAAGATTCAACACAGGATGTTTGATGCAAGATTCCTTTTTGGGCAAAAAATGCTGACATGGAAAACTCAGGGCCATTGTCACTACGAAAGGCCTTAATGGTTATACCAAATTGATTCTCTATCAGTGTTACAAAAGCATGAATATGGTTTCTAGTTTCAGATTTCAGTTTCATCATGACACCCCATGTGTATCGTGTGTGATCGTCAATAATGGTTAGAAGGTATTTATGACCATGAATTGAGGGAATAGAATATGGACCCCAAATGTCAATGTGGACTAAATCAAAAGCTCTATCAGTAACAGTAGAACTTGAAGGAAAAGGTAATTTCTTTTGCTTAGCATAATGGCATATTTCACAAGGAGTATCAAGATTCTTACAAGAGATGAAAGGAAATTGAGTCATCATGGACTTTATTACAGAAGATGAACAATGGCCTAGTCTTAAATGCCACAAATCAGGAAAAGTTTGAACAGATACTGTATTGACTATGTTTCTATGTTGTAGTGATGCCTTCTTCGAATCAAGAACTTGAGCAAGGATGTACAACCCTCCAACTAGCTCAGCTGAACCAATCATCTCCATTGAAGGGTGCTGTTGTATTATGCAAGTAAGTGGCTGAAAAGTAAGGTAGCAATTAGTATCTTTGGCTAGTTTGGTTACTGATATCAAGTTGACATTGAAATTCTCAACAAACAGAACATTTGACAAGGTTAATGTTTGAGAAAGCAAAACAGTTCTTGAAAGATATGAGTAAACCTGGTTCCCATTTGGTAATGAAATAGTTATGGGATCAATCCTTTTGACAAGGGTCAAATTTTCAAAGGAATTAGTGATATGGTCAGTGGCTCCTGTGTCCAGGATCCACTGGACCATGCTATTACCTGAAGATGACATCAGGTTATCAGGAATGGGTGATTGGATGTTGGATTCTGCATTAAGTGCCTTGGTCTGCACAAGGTTGCTAGCATGAGGATGTGTTATTTGCTCTTGCTGTCTAGGTGGCATAGACTGTTGTATCATCTCAAGGATTTCATTATACTGATATTGAGTGAAATTTTCTTTGTTTCCTTGAAGAAGAGAAGCATTACTAGAATCACCATTCGAATAAACTTCTTCAAGAGGACCAGTAGTGTTGACTGAGTTTGCCCTATGAGTATTAGGTGTTGTTGTGCCTTTAACCCTGAAACCAGGTGGATATCCATGTTTTTCAAAGCATGTATCCATAGTATGATTTGTTCTACCACAGTGAGTGCACAAACGAGGTGAGTAGGACCTTCCACGACCATTATTGTAACCATTGTGACCACGTCCTCTACTT